CGCCAACTTTTGGGCTACTCGTTTACCAAAGAATAGTGTGATTGACCGTCACATTATAACACCTCATGACTAAAAGAGTGAGCATGTTTGGTGGGACGGGGATTTGAACCCGCGACACTCAGATTGCGCCCTAGCTTCCTGGCCATGCCGGGCCACCTTAATAGGGTTAAATGAGTGAGACCATCACTTTCAACTACGAAAACCATTTACGTTAGTAGCTTGTAATATTCATTCCCATTGGTTTTTCTTATATGTACTTTAAAGAAAACAATATTACAGGTGTTTCGGTCCATATAACGACGAACGAAAGAAGAATGAAATTGTTTGTTTTATTTTAATATCATCGCGCAAAGTAAACAAAGGACTATCTGTATATATCCATTCCAAATTTTCAACTGACAGACTAGAAAGAAAGCGGGAAATTAACAGCACATATCACCAACTGTTGGACTACTCTTGTCTGAGTTAATAGTGGGATCTGACCTGTATTATAGTGCACTTACGCCCCCAGCATGCAGAAGCACTTAAGCGGCAACAAGCCGCGAACCATGAATCCTGTGATTCACAGTCCGAGCACGATAGCCACTGGGCCATATTTGTAAATATTTAACTTCTATCTACGAACGTTCCTTTTTTCCATTAAAATAGTCTGTAATTTTCTCCATATGTGGTGTGATAGTGGCTTACACCACTCCTCGTTTATGTTCCTTAATTCAAATAACATCTAAGCTGAGCAGTTTTCCAATTAATAATGGATGTACCTGATGATGACAAAACCTTGTCGAAACGTTGTACACTTGCTGTTATGTTAAACTTATATTAAAGTTTTGCTTCATTACCCATTCATGCCGTCTCCAGCCATTATTAGTCTCAAAGTGGGTTCCTCGTCATCGAATTTGAGTTTTCCAATTAGTTCTAACAAGTTGTCCAATTTTCCAGCTAAACCTAATGAGTTGTACAACTTTCAAGTTAGATCTAATAAGTTATATAACTTTCTAGCTAGATCTAATAAGTTGTCCAGCGTTCAAGCTAGATCTAATAACCCAGCTTTCCAGCTAGATTTAATAAGGTGTCCAGCTTTCCAGCTTGACCTCATAAGTTGTCCAACTTTCTCTCTAAAAATGATAAGTTGTCCAACTTTCAAGCTAGATCTGATAAGTTGTCCAACTTTCAAGCTAGATCTGATAAGTTGTCCAACTTTCAAGCTAGATCTGATAAGTTGTCCAATTTTCAAGCTAAATCTAATAAGTTACCAACTGAGCTATATTGAATAATTATATATATGGTCCAACTTTCCAACTAGATCTAATAGCCTATATATATATAGCCTTCTAGCTAAATATTTAGTTCGTCATTAAACTTTACTTCTAGACTGTAAAATGGAACAAAATTGTTATTTTAGAGGTTTTACTGATTGACTTATTTTACATGTTCCATAAAATGATATACATACGTTCAAATATATTAACCAAAAACTAAGTTTTGAAATAAGATACATGATGGTATGAAATATTACTAGTTTCTATTTTTCTGACAGAAAAAAAAAGATATTTTTTATAAGGATATTTTACATTTTATCGTCAGCTGTTAGGTATTTTCATTTATTGTTTGACCAAAAACGTAAAATGTTTACGTAGATGTGGTTGAAAGTTCTAGAAGTAGCTAAAAGAAAATGAAAAACCAACAAAAATAATTATTATAATATATGGATGCAATACAGTTTTTCACTATACTCATGTGTGCTAGATGCAAATAAAGATTATCGCTTTCACTTCTCTATAAAATGAATAGCAAAGTAGTTATTTTTTTATAAAATGAATAGCAAAGTAGTTATTTTTTATAAAATTAATAGCAAAGTAGTTATTTTTTATAAAATTAATAGCAAAGTAGTTATTTTTTATAAAATGAATACCAAAGTTGTTATTTTTTATAAAATGACTAGCATAGCTGTTATTTTTTATAAAATGAATAGCAGAGTTGTTATTTTTTATA